CGCGCACGTATCATGTATTCTGGATTCTGGCAGATGGCAAGATGGAAGGACAGATCGTGTCTCGATAGAGACACAATTGGCACGTTGGCACGGTTTCTGGGGAAACCTGTTCTTGATGATGTTGTGGTTTCCTCTTCTCCTCCTTCCTCTCCTCCTCCCTCCTCCCTCGTCTGGCCAGGTCCAGTTTGTCCTCTTTTCCTCGTCCTCCTCCTCCACCTCCTTCACCGCCTTCTCATGCTCCTCCTCCTCCTCCTTCTCCCCCTCCCCCTCCTCCGTTTGCCCCTCGCGGCGCGGACGGCCGGCGGACGGGCTGGCCGGCCGGCTGGCCGGATGCGCTTTCTCTTTTCCCATCCTCCTCGGTTTGTCGGTGTCCTTCCTGCTTCTCCGCTCTGCCTGCTACCTGCTACTGCGGATCTGCTCCGTTTTTCCTTTCTGCGTTTCTTTTTCTCCTCCTCAGCACGTTATGCGCAAATTCTCATTCGTAATGTCCAAGAGCGCTATTCTCAAAAATGGGTCCAAATTCATGCTCTCACCATTGCACCGCGGGTTTTCCTACCCTCGCGTTGGCCAGTTGAAAATTAACTAGTGAAATCTCCTTACGGATCTCGGTGATACGCATATCGGAGTGTCCTAGGAGAGTTGAGGCCCTAAGCTGCAGGATTAGTGCCTCCTTGCTCATTGCAAGGGCCTTGCGGTGCTCCAACAGGCGGTCGGGCTCAAGCGGGGGGTAAAGCCAGGCTGAGTGAGAGTGCGCCTCGTCTGGGGTAAGGGTAGGGCAATGCGCTGTGAGCTCCGCCTCCGAGAGTTCGGTGGCGGGATCCAGCGCACCAAGCGATGGAGAGGCCTGTTCGGCCGCGAGGAAAGGAGACTGCTGTACAGAGGTAGGGCCGAAGAGTGTAGGGGGAGTGGCCACGCCGTCTTGAGGAGGCGCAAAAGGGGAAGGCAGTGGCTGGGGAGACTGCCCTATGACGCCTGTGTCCATGGCCCCGTGTGGGGTGCCAGGAGCCTTCAATGGAGGCTGCTTCCCGTCTCTGCGCTGGTACTCGCGAGCTCTGCGAGCGTCGTCCTTCTCACGCTTCTTGCGCTCCTTGTTGGAGATCCCAGCCTCTTGGACCGCATGATCTCCTGGGGGCGCGGGGAGCAGGCCGTATTCCGCTGCCCATGCAGCCACCTGGTCGAAGGACGGCGCACCTGTCGGCGCGGGGCCCTTGCCCTGGTGCGCTCCCCCCGTGCTGCCTGAAAAGGAGCGAGGGCCCTTGTGGCCCGGCCCCGCGCCTCCATCATGCAGGGGCCTGTGCTGTCCCTGACCTTTGACTGGGCCGACCTTCGCTTGTTGGTGACCCGCGGCCCGAGTCGGAAAACAGCTGGGGCAAGAGGCATCCAAGGCGGTATTGGCCCGGCCACATTGCAGGCAATACCAGAACTCGGGCGGGGCGCTGCCTTTCTGGTGCACTGGCTGCTGGGGTGGAGGAAAAAAATCCAAGGGCAAGCGCGTGGCATAGAGAGACGGTGAGGGAGGGGCAGCCAAGCGCTGGGTGGGAGAAGTAGCCATGCCGTGCTGCTGCAGCCCCGATAATGGCGCATGCTGAGGGGGTAAGGTAGGAGGTACAGCGCCTTGCTGGGGGATGCCCTGAAAGGAGTGGTGCTGTGAAAGCATCATCGCGGCCTTGTGCACCCTTAAAAGTGTGCGGGCGTTGGCGCGCTGCTTGCGCGCTCTACGATGAGGAGCGGGCTCGTCACGAGGCCGCTGGGCATAGGAAGGAGGAGAGTAGGCAGGCGTCTCGCCTGTCGGATGGCGGCCCGATAGGGCGTCGCGGCGGGGATCGGCGCGGAACCGGTTGTGCAACCGCTCGAGCCAAGCCTACTCCTGGACGGATCCGGGAGGGGGAGGCTCGAGGATCGAGGCTCGAGGATTTCGGTCGGTTTCGAGGCTCGAGGATCGAGGCTCTCCTCGAAAGTACCTGGCCAGATCGAGGCTCGAGGATCGAGGCTCGAGGATCGAGGCTCGAGGATCGAGGCTCTTCTCGAAAGTACCTGGCCAGATCGCACTCCTGGACAGATGCGGGAGGGGGAGGTTCGAGGATCGAGGCTCGAGGATTTCGGTCGGTTTCGTTTGTGTGTGGGCCTCCCAGGGACCTCCGGAGGCCTCCCGGGTCCCCCAGGGACTTGCGGCGGCCCCCGTGCGCCGCGTACTCGTCCTGCTGGAAGCCTCTTGAGCTCAGCTCTGCTGCGCTGAGTTTTGGGGGCCTCTTGAGGGTGTGGGGGCCGTCTTCGGGGCCGCTGCGGAGTTGTGCGCAGCGTTGAACTTCGTGACGCGTCGCGTATTCAACTGGCCCCGTCGGATACTTCCTGAGGGCTCCTTTAGTGGGCCTTTGGAGCCTTTTTGGAGTCTGGGGGTCGTCCGCGGGGAATCTTGAGGACTTCCTGGGGGCCGTGCTGATCGTGAAAGTTCTGTTGAGTTCTTTCGACGAGGCTCGGTAGACGTATTTTTGGGCAGTATCGGCGACTCTTGGGGCGGTCTGGGGGCCCTCTTGGAGCGTTATGGGCCATCTTGGGGGCGACATTGGGCTGTGATTGGGCCGTCATGGGGCCATCTTGAGGCGTCGTTGGGGCTTCGCGGAGCTCCTGGACGCCTTCTTGGGGACATCTGACGTAGAACGTTCATCAGAAAATGTCAGGTTGTTGTTTAAATCGAGTTTTGGCCTCTTTGGGTGATTGGTGGACTTCCCTGAGCAGGATTAGGGGCGCGGTGGGCTCCCTGGGGCGTCGCTGGGTCGTCTTGGGCTGGACTTGGCGCACTTTGCAGCCGTCTTGGGGCAGTCTTGGGGCTGTTTGGCCGCGCCCAGGCGCTGGGATCCGCAGGGGAGCCGCGGGGGACCACAGGCAGAGCAGCGCCTCCGGGAAGAAACCTCTAAGCATTTGTGGCCCAGGTGCTGGTCGGTGTTGTGCGCACATGTCGCCGCGCCGTTTGTTCCGACGCGATGCCTTCCGTCGTTGGGAGGGCGCCTCGGCCACCGGGGCAAACTCCGCCTCGGGCGCAGGGCTTGCCGTGGGCTTGCTGCGGTGCCGTCTTCGTCTGCCTGGGCGTGCGACGCAGGGATTGCCGAGGGTTTGCCGTGGTGTCGGCGTCGTCCACTTGAGCGCGTCGAGAACAAACGGAGGAGGAGGGGGAGGAGGAGGAGGAGGAGGAGGAGGAGGAGGAGGAGGAGGAGGAGGAGGAGGAGGAGGATATGGACGAGGAGGATGTGGACGAGGAGGATGTGGACGAGGAGGAGGAGGAGGAGGAGGAGGAGGAGGAGGAGGAGGACGTGGAGGAAGAGGAAAAGGAGGAGGAGGAGGAGGAGGAGGAGGAGGAGGAGGAGGAGGAGACGGCACGGCGACAGATAGACAAGTTGATCTCGCACGGCCCACCTTGCAGGCCGGATTGCGGCCCGATTTAGAGGGCTGCGCCCCCTGCTGCCGGCGTCTGCCGCTGGCGCGCCTGCGGCTTGTGTGGGCAGATCGGGACATGCTCGGGGCTCTCTTGGGGGCAGCTCGGGGGCATCCTGGGGCCTCTGGCGCGGCTTTCGGGCCATGAGTGGCAGTCTCGGGGCAAGGTTTGGGCTTCTGGCGGGCCTCTTTGTAGGCTACGTCAGGCGGCCATCCTGGAGCCTCGGGGGGCCACGCTTGCGCGACCTTCGCCGCATTTGTGGGGCCTTTGGGGGCCACCTCGGGGCCGTCTTGGGCAATCCCGGGAGCTCTGGAGGCCCTCTTTAAGTGATCTAGGGGCACTCTGGGAGAACAACATGGGATTGGGGAGTGACATTGGAAACGCAGTTGGTTTCATTTTGTTTTCGAGGGCATCTTTAGGGCAAACCAGAAGCATCTTGGGGCCATCTTCGGCCGTCTTGGGCTCTTGAGTCCCTCTTCGGGGCTCCCCTGGGCCGCATTCGAGGTCCTTTGGGCTCTCTTGGGAGGCGGGTGGGGTCCTCATGGAAATATTGGGACAACCTGGTCTGTCATTGATGTGTGGTGTGGAGAAATCTTTTCAGAGGTCTTGGACAGATGAGAGACTAGCACGAAAGACAACACACACAGTAAGAGACAGCAGTCAAGCAGTACGCTTCACAGCCTTGCGCCCCCAAGGTTGTCGACGAATAACTGTACAGAAGCTAGGGATCAGCCTCAGCAGACCCAGGAGTCAACCTTAAATGTCCTCTCAGATCTGTCACTCTGCGAGCCCCTTGGAGGTTTAGCTGTTGGGGCCATCTAGGGATTGTTGCGGACGCCTTTGGGGTTCCCTTGGGGCTCTTAGGGGCCGTCTTGGTGAGGGGCGGCGTCGATCACGTCCGCCCTTGTGGAGCTCGAAAGATATCCTCTTTGGGCGATATCGGGGAGCTCTTGGGGGCCTTTGGGGCCTTCCATGCCCTTCTGGGCCCCTCTTAGGGGCTTTCTTGGGCGATCCTGGAGCCATTGAGCGAAAATACGGAAGGGCAATCGTCATCCACCGATTTTCTGGCCTCTCGGGTGTGACCTTGGGAGGCTGCGTGCGTGGCCACCTCGAGCCGCCTGTCGCGGTCTTGGGGCCTCTTGAAGGCATGTTACAGGCCTTCTTGGGTGATCTTCGGCTGCGTTGTGCCATCTTGGAGGCCATCTTGGGCTATCCAGAGCCGTCTTGGGCAATCTTTGTCGCTCTGACCGCTGGGGCCATCTTGGGCCATGAGTTAGCAGCAGGGCTCGAGCTGAACGGTGTTTCGGTGATCTCGTGGGCCGCTTTCGCTTTGATTTCGTCTTGCAGCAGGCGCGGGGCCAAGACGAAACGAGGGGAGAAACGAGAGCAGCACGAACACTGAGCACACTGTTTGGGCTCCAGCCCTCTCGGTGGAGCGGGCCGCGTCTTCCAGCAAACCCCCAGCCACGGGACCGGTGCGCGCGGCCCCCGTCGTGGCCTCGGCGAGGCCTCGGCGAGGCCAGGCGGCCTCCGAGGTGGCCGCCAGGGCGGCACGCGATGGCCGGCCCGTAGCCATTTTTTTGGCGCAGGGCGCCAGCTCCGGGCCAGGGCGAAGAGACCAGAGGGGCTTCCCCTCGAGCTGGCGAGCAGCCACGGTGGGGTCGCCGGTTCAGGGCTGCACCCAGGAGGCGTCAGACCCTGGACGGTTTCTGGTCTGGTGAGGGCGGCGGTGACAGCCATGCCCAGCCCACGACCGGAGTTCCACTGGCCTCCAGACACCGGTTTCCTTATCCAGGGGTGCCCTGTCCAATGCCCTCACCGTAGCGCCTCTGCTGCTCTCGGCCGCGCGGCCAGCCAGCAAGGGCCGTGAGCACTCGCTCTTGGGCGACCTGCTGTGCTGCAGCTGTGGGCACCCCAGCCAGGGCTGCAGGCACCCAGCCGGTGCTGGAGATGCTGCGCGTGCTGCCCGTGCTCGCAGCTGCGGCCGACGTAGTGAGCATCGGAGGCTTGGAGGCGGACACCAACGCCAACACAGGGGGGGATGCCTCCACCAGGGGAAGAGGATCCTAGATTTCGCTGTTGGTGGTACTAGTTCCTAGGAAGCCCGAATATGGCCACCAGCACCGCGATCGGGGTCATCTTTCTTCGGTGGAGGCACACCGCCGATGCTGGTGATGGTGCCAACTGTTGGGCCTCCGAGGGCAGCCCGTTCCAGGGGGAGGCGCTGCGTCCATGGTACCACTTCACGCGGCTCAGTGGCGAGATGAACGACCCCAACGGACTCCAGTGGCGGCGGCTGCAGGGTGGTCAGCTGTCCTACGAGATGTTCCACCAGCTTGGAGCCGGCCAGGTGTCTGAGGCTCACCACCCACCAAACCACCCCAACCCAACCCGAAGGCCTCAGTTTGCCCTCCCTTTCCAGCTGGGGGGGGTCGGGAAACACTTAAAACAAAACACATGAAGCCCGTACCCCCCCCCCAACCCGAAATTCGTGTCTTCGGGTTGGGTTGGGGTGGTCTGGTAGGTAGTCAGAGGCGGCCTACATAGCGCTGGTTCCGGCCAGCGCGACGGGGGGGCAGAGAGGTGCGCAGTTCTGGGTTCGAGCAGTTTTTGTTGCCTCTTTCGGCCGTCGGGGCCACTTTCGGGCCCCGGCACCGTCGAAAACGAGTCCAGGGTGACAGCTTGCACCAGATGGACCCCAGGAGGAGTCCTGGAACCGATTTTCAGCGGATTTGCCTCGCCCCCCCCCCTCACGAGAGTTTTTCTGTGGCCCCATTCAGTTCAGACCCCCTGGCCGTCTCCAACCCCCAGCACAACAACGGGAGCACCGCATGCTACGGTTCCGAGGGCAGTGGAGACGTGTGGGGACATGCCAGCTCTCCTGACTTGGTGCGCTGGACCCGCCTCCCACTGACACAGCACATGGTCTGTGCCTCAACTGGTGGTGGCATCACCCTACCGGCAGACTTTAGGGGGCCGAGCGGCGAGCGATGGCTGAGTGCCAACCTCGGCTCTGCACCGGCGATGAAGACATTCCCTGACGAGACGATCGGGCGAGGGCTCAAACTGTGGACATCAAACGACTCCAGAAGCCTCAACGAGTACTTGGAGTACCTGCCACCAGGAACTAGAACAATCGACTCCGTCACTCGCCAGAACAACGCTTGTGTGATCTGTCCTGAGGGGGTGCGCCAGGGACCTTCAAATCCTCCAAACTGGACGCGTGCAGCTGACATTGGAGACTCGTATATCTGGAGTGATCCTGAGTGGGACATCCCTTCCGACAACAGAACATTCTATGCCATCTCGGGACAGGGTCGGTGCCCCGAGGGTGGCCCAGCGATGTGGTGCGGCTGGGCCAGAGGCCGGGAGCCCCAGGCGTTGCTGTGGTCCTCCAAGAACTTGGTAGATTGGAAGTTCGTGTCTGAGTTCTATCCAGCTGCCTGCGGTCAGCCCGCCACCGTGCCAGCGAAGAGACCTGTGTGGCGACCCTTCGAGCACCGCCCAGAGGGCTGTCACATGTGGCGCCTCTCGTCTCCACTTCTTCAGGAGTTCTCACAGGGCCTGTTCGAGCTGCCTCGGGGCTGTCTTGGGCTCCTGTGGGGCAGTAGTGAGGGTAAAGTGGGGCCCTCTTGGGCAGCGCTGGGGCCCTCTCGAGCCGTCGTGGGGGCCTCTTGGCCATCTCGGAGGTCTCTCAGGGGCGTCTTGTTGTTTTGGGCCGTCGAGAGGCCCTCTTTGGTCGTCTTAGGGATAGCTCTGGAGGCCCTCCTTTGGGGCAGGGCCCTCAAAAGCCGCAAGTGTATTGATCTTCGAGCGAAGAGCATGGAAAGCGAATACCTTTGAAAAAACCAATGTGGCGACCCTGTCTTTGGCTTCTCGATGGCCTCCTGGAGAGCGTCTTGAGTGTGTCGTAGGGCCCAGTTGGAGGCCTCCTGGGACCTATTGAGCAGTTCTCGAAGGCTCTTCAGTGCTTCTTGAGGCAATGTCGGGCCATTTTGGCGGCCTCGGTTCGGTTGCCTTCCTCGGTCGCTCCCGGAAGCCCTCGATAGGGCCTGGGGGGGTCTAGGGGTCCCTCCTGGGCGTCGTGGCGCCCAGGAGGGGCCCCCTGAGAGGGGGAACACCTGCGACAGTCTGCGGTGAGGAGGGGCAGTGTATGCTAGAACGAGCTCCCACAATATTCACCTACGATTGTGTCGGGCCTGTCGCTCTACAGGAGGAGTATTCAAACATAGTCCAAAAATAGTCTGGGGACGATTTGTTATTATGTTTGACTCTTTTGGGATATTTGTTGATTTTTTCTCTCGCCGAGAGTCCGCCTGTAGGAGGACACGTCCGACCTGAACCTACGAGTGGACAGGGGGGGGAGGGTCCAGGGGGGAGGGTCCAGGGGGGGGGGTCCAGGGGGGAGGGGGGGGAGGGGCCAGGGCTGAGGGGAGGGGGCGGGGGGGACGACGGGGGGGGGGAGGGCGGGGTGCGCCCGCCCCCCGCCCCGCAGTTCCTGCGCGCCCGCGCCCGCTCCGAGGCAGGGGGGGGGGAGCCCCAGGCGACCGACGGAGGCCCCGCCAGGCAGCGCGGCGCCGCACCCGGCCTGCTGCCGCCCACCGCCTCCTCGGCGTGCCAGTGGGGGCGGGGGCGCGGCGGCGGACAACGGCACGGCCGACGACTTCACAGCGGTCATGACCCCCGAGACCTTCACTCTCGCAACCGGGGAGCAGGTGTTCATCTGGCTCGGGTCGCACGAGTGATCGTTTTTGTTATTCATTGTTTTGCCGTTCGGCGCAGGTCCTCTTACCCGTCCCTCCCCCCGGAGTAGATCTTGGCTGTTTTTGGCGCCTGTTTCACGCAGGTGGAGGCTCCCCCATAGGACGCACTGCTGCAAACAGTCGCACCAAGCAGAGGTCTGGAGCCTCCCCCCCTCCGCCCCCCCCCTTCCGCCCAATGTCGAAACGCCGAATAAGAAAACGCTCACCAATTCACTCTGGATCACTGGCGCCGCATCAAGGAGGGAGGGTGAATTATACAAGTTTCACGAAGAGCGGTTCAATGGTAACCCAAGCAGAGGGCCTGTCGATGTGGGAGGTGGCACACACTGCGGGCAATCGATGTGGGACGCCAAGGGCCGGCGGATACAGTTCATGTGGCTTAAGCTGAATCTTCCAGGTGCCAATTGGACAGGTGCGCAGACCATACCGAGAGAAATCGCACTCGCCCCTGCAGGTTCAAGCAGCGGGCTCTTGTTCAAGCCGATTGTAGAGATGGCCACCTTGCACGCGAGTGTTGAGCCGGCTATCAATGAGGCTTTCGAAACTGGTGCTCGCCGAGTGTTCTCACCACCTGACGGCTTACACTGCCATGTCAAGGCAAATCTGACATTACAGGAGGGCAGCGCAGTTGCAATCACAGTGAGGGATTCTGAAGGCGACATGGCAGATGCTCACGGCAGCCTGCTGATCTCGGCCCAGCTACAAAATGGTGAGTATACAGTTGTTTTTGGGGAAGCGTCGGTCCAAGTCTCACTTCCTGGCTCCCTGCGACTCGAGATATTTGTGGACGGTCCCGTGGTAGAACTGTTTGTGAATGGTGGCGAAAGGGTGCTGACCACCAACTCCGGCAACCCTCAGTATATTTCGGACACCAAGCTCAGCGTCGAGGGGAATGGTGTAGCTGCAACGGTTACATTGCAGGTGTGGAGCATGGCACAAGCTGTCTCTGGGCCGGGCGACCATCAAGTAGTAGTTTAGTGGATCATGCCAGTGCACTCGGTGGACCAGTGGCCGCAGAAAGCGTCGACAATTACAGCAGCATGGCGGCCGCAGACCCCAAGCAGCACAATCCAACATCACGCAGGAGGCCATACGGCCCAGGGCGCCGCCAGGCGAGGCCGCACCAGACCAGGCAGGGCATTACAAGGCTGGCCAAGACGAGAAAAGGCCAGGCTCGGCGACGGCTGCGACGGCGACGACGACGACGACCACGACGACGACGGCGGCGGCGGCGGCGGCGGAGACGACGACGACGACGACGACGACGACGACGACGACGACGACGACGACGACGACGACGACGACGACGACGACGACGACGACGACGACGGCGGCGGCGGCGGCGGCGACGACGACGACGACGACGACGACGACGACGGCGGCGAAGACGACGACGACGACGACGACGCACGACGCACGACGCACGCCGCACGACGCACGCCGCACGACGCACGACGCACGCCGCATGACGCACGCCGCACGACGACGACCACGACAGCCTCCAGGCCAGCCCGAGATGGCCCTGAGCCGCCCCGCGAGACCCCCACCCCAGAGGCTCAAAACGTGTTCCCAAACTGCATTCGCATCATCGACTTTTGGAGCGGCTCCCAAGCGAGGGTTCCCAAAGAGGCCCTGGGGTGCCCCAAGAGGGCTCCAAGACACGCTTGGGCTGGAAAAGGCCGACGGTGTCCAGCGTCCTGCTAGCCTCACCTGCCCCACCAGGTCGCCCCGACGCTTCCAAGATGGCTCCGAGGTGCTCCCAGGAGAGGCGAGGATGGCTTCAGCAGAGCTGGGCAGGGTGAGGGCGAGTGGGAGGGGGGGCGGGTGTTGGAACCCCCGCCACCTGCTGGCAAAGGGGGGAGGGGGGAGGGGTGGATCTCGCTTCTTCAGAAGGGGGGGGAGACTTAAAACTGACCCCCTGTCAGGGGGACGGGAGAGTTCCCGTTTGAATGACCGAGCCTGTCAGTGGCGCTCTTTTGTCTTGAAGGGGCACACACACATAAATACACAAATTCCGGGAGTCCCCATTTGTTCCTATACTTTCTGGTTTTCTGTATTCCCCCCCACTGCCCATCTTTCCCCGTATCTTCCTGGGGATCGACGATTCATTGTGTCTGTAGTTTTTTACCCTCCTGGTGTCTACAGCCGAGCTTGATTGGAGAGGGCACGTTGGAGGGCACGAGATCTCTCCGAGGGCCACACTGCTCCCTCAGAAGTGCAGAGGCTGGGCGCGAAACACAGGGCACGAGAGCACCAGGATCAAGTCGGCCCTGTCTCTCTACAGGAGTGGTAAAAAATAGTCTGAGGACGATGTTTTGGGATTCTTGTTGACCTGTTTTGAATCTGTTTTGATTATTTCCCATTTTTCATCAAAAATCCGCCTGGAGGGGGACATGACCGACCTAACACCAGGACGCGAGGGTACCCCTGATCTGGAAGGTCCACCTGCTGCAGCCAAGACGCTGCAACATGGGCACTCTGGGTGCAGGAGGGCCTCCTCCTCCTCCTCCTCCTCCTCCTCCTCCTCCTCCTCCTCCTCCTCCTCTTACTTGCGCGTCACCAGCTTCAGACACTTGGCCAGAGCTCGGCAGGTCTCGAATGCCACGGCTGACATTCGACGAGGCGCCGACCGAGCAGGAGGCTTCGACATGTGCGACTGGACACCAGTCACCTGGCACCTGAAGGGCACTACGCTCACCGTCGTCAGCCTCTACCTGGACTGCAACAGGTCGCTGACCGACGGCATCAACAGCCGCAAGCTCACCGCGCTGGCCGCGTTCCTCAAGACGCTGCAAGGGGCGTGGGTGGTGTGCGGCGACTTCAACACAGACCCGAAGACGTTCTGGGCGACGGGCTGGCCAAAGGCGATGGGCGCGAGCGCCATCATCTCATTGCCTGAGGACCAGCACACCTGCTTCCTCGCGGAGCAGGAGCCCTCCCACATCGACTTCGCGATGACGAACGACGCAGGCAGCAAGCTGATCACAGGAGTCGAAGGCGTCTACGACGTACCATGGAAGCCACATATCGGACTGAAGTTCACAATTCGTGGACAGGGACTTGCGACGCAGTGTAGGACGATCAACCTGCCGAAGGCGTTCCCGCACCCACCGCGGAAGGGCAAGGCGCCCAACCCGCAGAGCAAGAGATCTAAGAGACGCCTGCAGGCCAAGGCCAAGGAGGAGGCCGAGGCCACCGCAGCTGGATCCCAGACCATGGCGATCGGCGGCAAGAACGTGGAGGAGCTGGACGACGAGCGCTGGGAGGCACTCTCCCCAGTCGCAGGCTGGGCCAGCTTCCCGAACACCGTGCGCGACGAGGTCGGCCAGGGCACGGCGCCCAGGCCCCCGTCTCCACCTCGCCCCCCCTGCTCCGTCGGCCCAGTCCCACTGGGCGGGCACGGGGGACCAGGCAGAGACGGCGCAGAGGCCCACGTGCAAGAGGAGTACAGGCACCACATGGACGACGATGAGGTCGACGTGTTCGCCGACCTGGACCCCGAGGACGAGGCCGAGGCAATCAGGATGTGCGGCGAGTTCGGCCAGGACCTGGAGCCGAGCTGCATGCCGCCAGTGAGTCAGAACGCGTCAAATCCCACGACGGTGCTCCTCGAGCCGTACGTGGGTTCACCGTCGCCTGTAAGTTTTGCAATCTCTGGCGCAAGCAGCTTCGACCCCACCCGGCGTCAGATCGCAAGTCCCACATCGGCGCTCCTCGAACCGATGGTGGGCACTGGCAGTCAGAACGCACGCCACAGCTTCGACACCGTCGGGCGTCAGAATGCAAGACCCCCCTCGGTGCTCCTCGAGCCGACGGGGGGCTCAGCGTCGCCACAGAGCCACACCAACATCGACGGGAGTCAGAGCGCAAATCCCGCCACGGCACCGCCGTCGGTGGGTTCAACGTCGCCACGGCTCGAAACTAGAGGAGAAGACACGACCGAGATGGGAGAGCTCTGGGAAATGATGGAGTTGGCTGCAGAGGCACCCGTGGAGAAAGAGGCCCCAGAGTACATCACCAAGTGCGCCGCGTACCAAGCGACCACGCAAGCCTCCAGGGACCTCAGCCTGAGCTTCTCCTCCATCATGAACACGATGGAGCACTTCTACTGCATGGCTTACCGCATCGACCCCCTTGACCGAGCGAAGTACTGCGGCAGAGGCGACCCGAGAACATTCACCATGCGCAAAGGCAAAGAGAAGCACGAGAGGAGAGAGCGGTATGCAAACCGCAGAGCTGACTGGTGGAGCAGAGCCGAGAACACCCTGTCCTTGCTGGCGAGGCTGCGCAAGAAGAACAGGGACGTGAGACAGCAGCTGCACCTAGAGGCCGCAGGCAGACACCTCGCCTACGACGGCCTCCCGAACACCAGCGACCAGGCATCGGACACGGCGAAGCTACACCGAGAGATCTGGAGAGTGAGGCTGACAGACTTAAGCAAGGTCGACACAGACGTAATCCTTGGCATGGCGCAGCAGGCAGAGCAGGAGAAGCGGCTCGCACTCAAGAGGGACCTCCAAGAGAATTCGCGGGCCTTCGCACAGTGGCTGGCGCGGGCTGAGAAGGACGTCGGCGTGCTGCACCGCATCACGAAGCCACCGCCCAGGCGCGAGGAGGAGGTTGTTACTCATGAAGGGGTATTGGACTGCCCCACCAAGATAGTCGACGAGAAAGCGAAGGCGTTCCAGAGCATCTGGAAGTGCGACCGACTCAAGCACGAGCAGCACACCGAAGTTCTACAGCAACTACGGAAGCGAGCACGTGCGGAGGCGGCCCCAGAATGGACGCTCGAGGACCTAGACGAGGCCCTCAGAGGAGAGCCCGACAAGGGCAAAGGCATTGACATGCTGGTGTGCTCCGACATCCGCAGGCTGCCGCCCGAAGGCCGCCAGAGGATCGTCGAGTTCTTCAACTCATGCGAGCAGGCGCTCGCATGGCCGTGGCAGCTGCTGTGCGAGATCGTGATGCTCACGCCCAAGCCAGCCAAGGGCGATAGGGCCCTCGCCCTGCTGCCGCAGATGGTGCGCTGCTGGGAGTTGCTCCACAGGCCCGCGGTGAGGCGCTGGGCCAAGCAGCAAGAGAGAGAGTGGGACGCCGCCGTGGCGGGCAACAGCTGCCTGCGCGAGGCGATGAGGAGAGTCATCAGCGACGAGTGCTGCGACGCGCTCCAGCTGTTCCACGGCAACCTGCTCGCGGACATCGAGAAGTTCTACGACAGCCTTCAGCTCGACTGCGTGATCGAGGCGGGCCTGAGGATGGACTTCCGCCCCCGCCTGCTGACGATGATGCTGCTGCAGCACTCAGCCACGAGGGTGCTGCGGTGGAAAGGTGCCTTCTCGACACCTACCTGGGCTGACAGGTCGCTGCTGGCAGGCTCGAGGCACTCCAACAACCTGGCCAAGACGGTGGTCTACTCCGTCATTGGCAGGATGCTGGAGAACTCACAGGCGCTGCCCAAGCCGCTGCCGAGGGCCTGGTTCGACGACATCAGCATCCGCGTCCTGGGCAGCGCAGAGGCAGTCGAGCAGGAACTGACGGCGGTCACGGTGGGGCTACGAGACGGTCTACGTGCACAGGGACTCTCGCTCGCGGACAAGACCGTCATCTTCAGCACCAACTACCGCACCACCAAGAGAGTACAGCAGGCGCTGCACAAGGTGGACCTACCCGTCCAGGCCGTCACTGAGGGCCGCGACCTGGGAATTGACAGAGGCGCAAGAGGCACGCTGAAAAGGGACACCCACAGAAAGAGGACGAAGCAAGCCTTCACGCGCTGCGGCCATGTGGGCAAGAAGCTCAAGAGGCTCAGGCTGCGGCGGAGGAGAGGCATCCTGCACCAAGGAGCGGTGGCCTCCTACATGTACGGCGCGACGGTGCACGGCATGGCACCCTGGGCGCGGCAGAAGGCGAGGAGGAGGTATGCACAGGCTCTGAGGAGGCCGTGGCCAGGCCGCTGCCTCACCACGTTCCTGGCGCTGGAGGGAGCCGACCCCGCGACCACTGCGGTGAAGGCGCAGCTGAAGACGTGGTTCGAGGTCTGGGCCCGCAGCCCCGACATCAGAGCGCAGGTCAAGCTTGCCTGGCCGAAGATCTACTTCCAGCTCCGCAAGATCAGGGCAGAGAAGAGGTGGCAGGCGCGCAAGGGGCCGCTGGCCAGCCTGATTCTCCTGCTGTGGGAGGTAGGCTGGGACTCCAGAGGACCAGACGTCTGGATCGACAGGCAAGGGGACTACTGGAGGTTCAACACCGATGAGCAGGGCGGCGACTACACAGAGATCGTGGACGCGCTCCTGCAGGATATCCAAGACCAGCTGTGGGAGACGGCATCACAGCACCACAACGGCGGAGGGCTTCAATTTGGTGCGGATGTGACAGACCTTAAGAAGCACCTCAACCAGCTCGCTAAGAAGGAGCACCACGGCACGTACGGCGCGCTCCTCACGGCAGCGTGTGCAGGCACCTGGACGAGGCGGCGCAAGCACGAGACCTTCGGCGGCGAGGAGGACATGTGCGAGTGCGGCAGACCAGAGGATGATGCACACAGGATCTGGGGCCACTGTGCGGCCAGAGCCGGCTGCGAGGCCATCCGCAAGACAGAGGGCCTGGCACGCAGGGCCATCGAGGGGGCCAAGGAGAACCCCGCCTTCTGGCTCAGAGGCATCACGCCCAAGAAGTGGACCACGCCGCCCAAGTGCGACACCCAACACGTCGAGCACACCGTGGGCGCCTGCATCACCAACATCAGGCTCTCCGCCAGCGACGGCGGCGAGATCACGGGCTGCGGCGACGGCTCAGGAGGCGAGTACAGCGCAGACGAGAGATACTGCCGCTGCGGCTGGGGCTGGGTGCTGCTGAAGGAGGGCGACGACACCGACGAGATCGCGGGCGCCAGATTCGGCCCACTGCCAGGACCGAGGCAAACCAACAACAGGGCGGAGCTCTTCAGCCTGATCAGCTTCGTCAACGCCACGGAGGGCAAGGCCAGCTTCTGGACCGACAGCGAGGTCACCTGCCTGGGCTGGGCGGCGCGACGTGAGGAGACCACAGGGCTCGGCTGCACGAACGGGGACTTGTGGCACCAGCTGGGCGAGGCGATCCGTGCGCGAGGAGGCGACCGCAACGACATCAGCGTGCACCACCTCAACAGCCACATGACTGAGCAGGAGGCCATCGCGAAGGGCATCACGAGGCGCATCTGGGCAGGCAACCAGGCCGCCGACCAGTACGCAGACGCAGGCGCCAAGACCCACGCGATCAGCGACACCGAGATGAGCTGCTACGAGTGGGTGAGAGCGACGGCGCACCTGGTGAGGCTCAGGATCGCTGCAACCACCAAGGACGTCATCACCAGAAGGCCGCCAGACGAGAAGGAGATGAGAGAGGCCCGCCGCGCTCAGGCTAAGAAGCGACGGCAGGACACCGTGCGCAAGAAGGACCTGCTGGGGGACAACCACTCGCGGCGGCCACTCACACAACATGTCCTGGCACGAGATCGTCGAGGCACAGGATGGACGTGCATGACCTGCTGGCAGTCAGTCTCCAGTACGACGACGGCGCAGAACATCCACAGCTGGCTGACGCAGGAGTGCAGTGGCCCACCGCCCGAGACGGCGATCACGGTCACCAAGTTCGGCATCGAGTCGCACCCCACACACGAGCTGAGGCGGCTGAGGAGGCACAACAGGTGGTTCTGCGAGAAGTGCGGAGGCGCCACCGCTGAGCTGATCGCCAAGAAGCTGCAGGAGCCTTGCTGCGGTCACACGGCATGCGACAGCGGACACTACAGACTACAGGGGTGGCTGAGACAAGCGGCGCGAGAGCAGGGCACCTGCGACAGGCCTCGCGCACTGAGCGACCCTGAGGACGAGGAGTACGAGGAGCAGCTTACAGAGGCCAGCAGTAGCCAGAGCACGGAGGTCGACACGGCAGGGGGCACAAGTGGTGTTTCCTGGCGAAATAAACGGGAAGAGCCACCCTGCCGTCTGCGGGAGAAGTGCCGAGGCTACACTGCGGGCGCGCTGGAGGCGACCAGGAGAGCTACGACGCCTGCGGAGCCCAGCAGCCCGCCCGCCCCTCCAGCTGCAGGAGCAGACCGAGGGCCCGCGGCGCGGGACAGGGCTCGTCGGGCCGCGTCGGCCAGAGCGAGAGCGCGCTGCGAGGCAGCAGGCGCGCGGCCCGACGGCGGAGACAGAGAGAGCAGAGGACACGGAGATCAGAAAGCGAGAGGCGAAGAGCCGAGGAGCCGATTGTGAGACGCCTGCTGGACGCGACCGCCACACCAGCACCGACGCCGCCACCGACGACAGCACCACCAGCAGCTGCAGATCAACGTGACGAAGCTGAGGCCGCACGCCGTGCCGCCTCGCGAGCGCTGCTGGAGGAGGAGAGGCGGCGCGCGGCGCGCCCGCCGCCAGAGGCGAGAGGGGCCCGCGCGGCGAGCGCCGCCCCGCTGCTGCCGCTGGGCGCGCTGCGCCGGCTGCTGGACGAGGGCGAGCGGCCCGCGGGGCGGGCGAGGACCACGCGAGGCGGAGCTGGTGGCAGAAGATGTGGCCTCCCCGCCCCGCGGCGAGAGGGCTGGGCTGCGGAGCCGCCCGCGGGCCCCTCGGCTGCTCGGCACGTCCCCTGATGCCGAGGACCGAGGCGGCCTGAGAGGCGCCGAGAGCGGCGCCCCCGCGCGCGCGCGCCGACAGCGCCGCGCGGGTTGCCACGACGTGGCGGCTCGAAAGAGCTCGGAAAGAGCTCCTCCTCCTCCTCTTCCTCCTCCTCCTCCTCTTGTTTTCGGGCCGCTCCTTGGTTCTGGGCTGGAGGCCTCGTTCGTGGCCGAGGCTCGCCGTGGCCAGAGCAGCCGCTTCGCTGCCTGGCCAGCGTTGCTGTGCAGTAGCAAGCTGACTGTCATCAAACTCGGCTGTGCTTCCCCCTCCCCGGGAGGCCCGTTCATTGTCACTGCAGCGTCATTGATGCAGGCGTGGCATCTTGTCCGTAGCGACTCCTCCTCCTCCTCCTCCGCCTCCTCCGCCTCCTCCTTCTCCTCCGCCTCCTCCTGCTCCTCCTCCTCCTCCTTCTCCTCCTATCCTCCTCCTCCTATCCTCCTCCTCCTCCTCCTCCCCCTCCCCCTCCTCCCCCCCTCCCCGAAGGACAACGCCAACGAGGGCGAGGGGGAGACCCAGGGGGGGGGACACCCGCCGCGCACCTGCAGCAGTCCTGGCCGGGCCCGCCCTCGGGGCCGCGCCCGGCGCGCGTGCCCGCCGGCCCAGATCAGAGGCGACGATCGGGGCGAATGGTCCAGGGGAGAGCAACACACCCAGACATGATGGTCAGGACGGGACGTTTCTCAGTATTTTCGACCCCTCGAGGCCCTCGCCGGGCCCCAGGACCGTCAAAAAACGACTCAGGATGCAAAACCGGCCCCAGGGAAAGGGTCTGGACTTCTGGGGACGCTGTCTTGAAAAAATCAGGACGTTTCATGTCTGGGTATGTATTCAGGTGCGCCGATGATCCATGTCTTCGACAAGGCTCCCGGGCGAATTCGTGTAATGCCCGCCCCTGGGCTATTCGCCCCTATGAGCGC